CCAGTTATTAAGTTCGATCATCCTATCCAATCCATATATATGTACTAGTGGTGCATGCACGAATATATGCGGATTATATATATTATACGTGAAGAGTTATATTTACAAAAAAATTGTTTATAAACTACACTATATATTTTCGAAAATACACTAAGTTACTATGTATTTTCGGGAATACATATGTAATTTGTAAAAATTTATAAAAAAAAATTATAAATAGATCTTCTCCATATTATATTAGTATTACTCCCCATGGCATTACACGTACATCATCAGCTGCTAGGTTATTCACGCATTTATTTTGATTCGGCGACATGAATAGCTCAATATATACCGATCAATATGAGTTATAATATACTTGGTTTATATTCAGTTCAACTAAAATCTACAAAGTAGGGACATATTATTTTGACATGATGTCCCTGTGTTGAACATATTTTTAACTCAACATAACATACCCACAACCCTTGTTTGATATGTATCTAAATGTGTTCAACTCAAAAGTTATATTTTTGAACTTCGACATGACTATGGCATTGCGTGGATATAAATATTTAAAATTTGAATAAAAAAAGAGAAAAATATTTCTGCAACTACTGCAGATAAGTTATTTGCATTTATTCTCAAAACAACGTCGTTTTGATATTGAAATCTTAAAAAATTATAAATATAAAAACTATTATAGCCCTGAAATAAATTAAAATTACAAAAACACCATAATTTTCGCTCAAAACGATGTCGTATTGAGCTTACTGCAAATAACTTATCTGTAATAATTGCAGAAAAAATGAACTCATAAAAAAATGTGTTATGATCGTTGAGTATCCTTTAATATTTTAAGCAATTTTTGCTAATAAAAAATAAAATAAAAATACTTTTGGTGCTTTTCTTATTTGGGAAAAGTGATATTTCATTTCTCATTCATACATGTGTGTGCGTCCGTGTTTTATAATGTGTAGTAATTATCTCTTTGAGACGAGTTGGCTCCCTCCGGTATCCCCACGAGCTTCGACTCTTTGAGCCAGCTATGAGACTAATCCGGAGTGCGGGGGGACAGTGATGGCTAAAGGTTCAGCCAATTTTGTATATCTCTTTGTCCATTTCAGTAATATATTATTAAAAGGAATAGGATATTGTAACAACCAATTAATGTTACTATCAATGTTACTACCAATCAATCTCACCGTTAGACCGGTTACATTGATCCAACAGTTATATTTATTTTTATTTTTGTATAATTATGATTTTTTTCGTATTTAATGTGAAAGCATTAAATATGAAAAATCATAATCATACAAAGGTGGAAATAAATATAAAGTATTAAGTAGGAAAAATCATAACCATACAAAGATAAAAATAAATATAACCGTTGTATCTGCATAATCAATTTAACGGTGAAATTGATTGGTAGTATTGGTTGTTACAATATCATTCTCCTTATTATTAAAATAACCTAACCTAAATCAATTTGAGTTATTTCTTTTAAATTAATTACATTTAAACAAATTCATTGATCTTAATTTTATATATCTTTAAAAAATATTGATATAAAAATGAAATCATTTAAATTAAAAAATTAATACGAAATAATGTCATTTTTATAATATTTTTAAAAAAGTATAATTACTCAGTCCAAGCGAATTCAACCACAATCAAACGAGATTTGTGATCTAAGCCTAATCTTCCATAATATGATCAAATGAAAGGTAGATCAATCAGTTCAAAGCTCACGTGATTTTCCGTTATATTTTTTATTATATATTAGTGTTTCGTTAGTCCACGCTTTTCAATATAACATTAAAGAGGACTAAAAATTAACAGTTTGTTATAACTTTAAAGTCTTATACAAAAATAATTATAAAGTGGGAAATTAAAGAGTATTTGAAAGCAATTATAATTATAATGTGAGAAAATTATATTTATTAAATTTAAGTGTAATTAAATAATAATGATATTAAAAATTTACGAAAAAAACCATAATAGCTTTTAATTTCTCAAGTTTGTTTTTTTTTGAATACAGCAAAATATATTATAACAACCAAAGAAGTTATATAGATTTGTTTTCAACATGATTTTGAGAATCCTAAATTTGAGAATTACAATTGTTTTGTCCACCCACCTAAGACATGCATTTGTTTGGGAGCTAGACACAAACCAAAAGAAAATATATGTAAAATATATATATAGTGAAAAAAATCTTGAAAGTTGAAATTGTCAATTTTTTATTGAATCTTAAGATAAAGAAAAAAAAACATTAAATCAAAGAAGATGATAAGTTACGTATTCAGATTAAATTATTTTATCAAAATTAAAAAATCTTCAGTAATTAGTGAAACGATGTGGTACTTAAAACTAATTATATATATTGTTAATGGCTAATTGCCTGATTCTCTAGCTAACTATCTCTTTTTGAAAAGAAAAAAAAAACTAAAAAAAATATAAATATACACAAATAAGATTAGAAAGTAGATCAGCATCAGCTCACAAAGAAAAGAAAGTAGAGCATCAGAAATAGCTCAAACTGAGGCAAGTGAAAAACTTTTTTTTTTCGAGGGAGATAATTTTCTCATTTCTCTATATTTCCCTTCTAAAATTTAAAGGGTCTGATGTATGCGATTTTAAACGACATAAATTATGTCATTTTAGGAGAGAGATAGACACAAGAAATGAAAATCATGGAAGAGAAAATAGGTGATTTTTTTTTAATTTTAATTTTTAAATAAAAAATATTATTTTGTGTTTATCTCTCTTAAAATGACACAAAAATGACAAACACTTTTTTCAAAACACTAAGTGAATGATCACCAAAAGATTTGAATCCGAATGTAACAAAGAAAGTTAAAATGAAATTATCTATCAAAGTGCAATAAAGTAAAAAAGAACGGACTCACAATATTGAAAAGGTATGAACAAAGTATACAGAATAGTGGAAGAAATCCGAGCCCACAGAAAGTGTTCTTAAGACAATTTGTTCACTTACCGAAATCGAATGTTGATGACTACTTGTCTCTCAGGATATTAATCAACAGCCCGAACGAACACAACTGAATGACTGAGGAATTATACCGGAAAGAATGGAGAATGTATGCACAGATGCAGAAAAAATCTGGCAGAATAACAGTGTAAAAAAATCGGATGAATTTTCTGAAAGGATCAGGGTCTATATATAGACACTGACTGGACACGATGAACCATCGTCGAGCAGAGCGGCCGATGACCGGTTCGATTCAAAAAATCGACGGGAAGAAACGTTTGATTCGAATAACCTGGAGGAAAGGAACAAATAGAAACATCAGTATTTTTTATTTCGCACGCACGCACGAATCGATTTGGCCTGACGTCAATTGTTTAAAGGAAAAAAAAAAAGTAAAAGAGATAACACTAATAAAGTGAGAGGATAATTTTTTTTATACATGAATTTATAAGTGAAAGGATAATTAAGTTGAATATAATTATATTCTCTAAGTTAGGATATTTAATTTTCTTAATTTTCTAAAATTAGTTTGTGTATTTATTTTTTTTAAGTAAAAAAAAATTACTCAAAGTTGAGAGGGACCAAAGAATCTTCGAAGTTCATAAAAGAAGAACGTAAAATGTTATCCACAATATTGAAACTCGAACTTGTACACATGCACATTTATTCCCACAAATGTTTTGAAAGTTACAATGGAATCAAATAAAAAATTTATCCATTTTATTATGGGTTCAATTTTTCTATAGCAGCAAATATCTGCCACTAAGGCAAAAAAATGAAACCCATTAATTGTTTTTTTTTTTTAAATTATCAAAATCCAACATCGTATCCAATAAATATGTATTACGTTCTTATTATTGTTTCCCAACATTTTTTATGGCCTAGCCTGATATGAATATAGATGAAAATATCATGAAGCGCGTGAAGAGGACGAGTCGTATGATGCGTGGCAGTGTGAGTGTAATGAGAATGAGAGGGCCCCCACTAACACAGAATACTTACACATTATATTGACTTAGAGCTACTGTTTAAACTTTAAAGTAACGTACGCACCAAACTATCCCAGTTCTCCAACACACAATCGATCTTTACTAGTTTGAAAGATAAGATGCTCACAAGTCACACCACACTCTAAATTTTAATCTGGATAAATAAAAACTTTTTTTTTTTGGTATCCATGGATAAAAAAAACTTTTTTTTTGGTAATCTGATAAATAGAAACTTTATCAAAGGATAAACATGTTGGATGGATTATATTTAAACATAATTTTAGACATGCAATTATAAATACGTGCAAGTAAAAAAAAATTTAATTATTATAATTCAATCATGCTATGCAATTTGTGAACACTTATTTTTTTATACAAATAAGAATTGTACATATAACTTAATATAATGTAATATAATCTATCCAAACTAATCCTAATAATTTATCAACACTAATTTATATTTCAATCAAATGTAACACTCTAATATGTATTTTTTACATAATAATGTATTATTAATTAAGGGAAATTTATATTTATCACTAATTTTATTATCATTGAATTAAAATAAAATTAATAACTCTCATTTGATATTATTTTCTAATTATTAATTTAATTGTAACTAAAGAATAATAAAATTGATGATAAAAAATAATAATAATAAATATAAGCGAAATCAACTTCTCATGTCGCAAGGAATCTATTCCTACCGCATGATAAGTTGATTTCCCTAAATATAACTTATCCTGTTACATAATAACGTGAACTATTTTTTTTTGGAAGTAATAATAATGTGAACTTTTTTTTACCCAGGATTGCAATAAAACTTTCTTAAAATAGTTGTTTGATACTTTGGTTCTGTACAAAAAAAAAAGGTTGTTTGGTGAACGTGGTCATCATACAAGAAGTGACTAAAAATACTAAAAATAACGTAAAAGCATGCGGTCAAAGAAAACGACAAGAAGGTAGGGCCCACCCACTAATGATAATGGTCTTTGTGTCGTGTCGTGTATTGTAACGCTTATTGCTGATTCTCTCTCTCTCTAATCTAATCTTAAACTTGTTCCTTTGCTTTACTTATATCTTGCTTCCAATTCCAACATCCATTGCAGTTTTCAGCTCTTATCTTAGGTCTCTGTCTCTCTCACTCTCGAATCCTCAAGTATATAGGTAAGTGTCTCTGTCTTCTGTTTAGATTGGGAACTGTTTCATTTTCTATTCTAAATCAGGTTATTTCCATTCTATATATTACAGCTTCTTTAGCTTACGGATATTATATATACACTCCCTAATTTTATAATAATGCCTGCCCCAACCCACAATCAAGAAAGTTATTCACATGGGATCATTTCAGTAAAGAAAATGAAATGTAATTTTTGGATGGAGTTTAAGCATGAACTTAGTGCTAAACATATAGATTTGCAGTTTTTAAGGAATATCTGGAAGAGCTTAAAGATTTTTCGTTTTCATTTTTTTTTTTTTATGCGTGTGAGGGGGAGGGGGGAACAAACTGTTATTGTCATTCCTAGCAAAGAAGGTACTAGGTGATTGTATTGAATTTTATTTTTTTATTGAAATTTCAACCTGGCTTTAGACATTGAGGTTTTTTTTTTTTTTTTTCTCTCTCCCAAAGATATGTTATTTTTTCTATGATAGATTTAGGAGTCGAATTCGAGGTCATCTTATTATGAGAATCATTTCCTGGGTGATGTAGAAGTAGGAGGAGATTAAACCTTTGATGATTGGTGAAACAGAATCTACAGTCAAAGCACCCTCCGAGGTCCCCAAGCCATAGTTAATTGAAGCTACCACAACCAAGCCAGAGACTCAAACAATTGTTACACAAGAAGGTAACAAGAAACCAACTTGGCCTCCGTTATGATAATTAATAGGATCACTTTACTGATTTTTTTTTTTTTAATGAATTTAAATAGGGATAAATAATAAATGCAATTGTATGAAACTTGGTATGGCTTTTGATAGGAGGAAGAAATTGAAATACGATTAGCATTTATTGAGTCGATGCAAGATTTTTTCTGAAGGTCTTAGGGATCATAATAAACCATATTGTGTTTCCAACCAAAAAGGAAAGAGCAAAGAGAGGGTTGGGGTTAGCAACTTTACTGCTGTTTGCTTTGGTAATAAACAATTAGTAGTAAATAACTTGCAAAATGTGAGCTTTACTACTGATTGTTGGGCATCGGTGCATAATCTGAATGATATGTGCATTACTACCCATTTCATAGATATTGAGTAGACATGCCACGAGAGGATTATAAAATTGTCAAGTTCCTACTAACAAGGGGGGAACTATAGTTTGGACTTTAGAAAAAAAATTGATTGGGAGAGTGACAAAGTATTTTGAATAATTTTTTATAATACTTCATCCAATGTTTAATTGTTTATGTTGTCGGATACATGATCATAGCTAATATTCAGAATATGATCGTGGGTTTAAGGGTTTGTTCCTGCATATGAAAGGTGCATACATATTAAATTTTTGGGATGGCTTCTCAAAATTAGAAACATGGTGAGCTTAGCTTTTATCTGGGGTTAACCCAGTAAGGTGGAATTCCATCATGATGTTAGAGGCTGCTTTCAAATTACTCAGCATTTGAGAGGCTTGAAGATCCTAACGGTAACTATTTGCTTGAGTTTGTAGGTGCCTATGAGTGATAAAAGGATCCTCCAAAGCTAGTGATGACATAATACTTAAATCCATGGAGGACAAGATGAAATGAGAGCATGACAAGTATTAGGGAAGCTTAATTACTTAAGATGGTTATGCTGATTTTTCATACCATGTTTATTGGACCCAAGATATAAAATGAACTTTGTTGAGTTTTCTTTTGCTAAACTACATGGTTTTAAAAGTGCAAAAGCACCGGCTTCCAATGTCAAAGAATCATTAACTAGGTTGATTGAGCATTATCGCTTATGTCGTGAGGTAGACCAAGAACTAAACACTTTTCATACTAGGGATTATCGGGTTGCCAATGATGAGGTTCATGATATATCCAATCCATGGATTTTACTGAGCAAAAATGAAATTGAAACCTATTTGATTGAAGCAAGAGAAAAATTATCTGTAAATTGGAATTTTTCAATTGGTGGAAAGACAATTCCAAATATCCAGTGCTAGTCATGATAGCAAAGGGTATTCTTGTTGTCCCAATCTCCACAGTGGTTTCTGGTCAAGTCTGCTTTTAGCATAAGAGGAGCTTTGTAGGATGCATATAGAAACTCATTGAGTCTAAGAACGGTGGAGGCGCTCATTTGTGCTCAAAACTGTTTTCTGTTTATATCATTGCCAAGTGATATGGTGAGACGAGGTGGTTTGCTAACAGCATAACACTTTTATTTCATTCTTGAACAACACAAAAAATGTTACACTAAATAGTAGCTTCCTTGTCTTATTTTAACGAGTTTGGTATGATTACAGAGACAACTTTGTGGATTTGGAAATGTGTCCATACTCAATTACCGTCACTAAACAAGTTGTATGTTTATTCACATTTATGAAATTATGTCTTATTTGACACACTTAATTGTAAACCTGATTTTTTTTTTGGGTTTTATATGCCGAAGATAAGTGGTGTTAAAGATGCTAGACTAATGGTTTGCTTTGATGAACAACTCATTGATGGTTGGTTTGGGAAGAGGGATTGTGTTTGTTTGAATAAGTGGATGTACTTTTCCACTATGACTACCGGTCAGCTTTAATGAACAGCAGCCTGTTGATGGTTGATTTGGGAATGCAGGATATGATTGTTTGAATGAGTGGTTGTGCTTGTTTACTATGATATTCTATTGATGTTTACAACTACTAGATTTTTCAGTGTTTCATGCTATTATAGGTTGTGTTGCTGCTGCCAAACTACAACTATTATCATTAGACAAGTTTTAAAATTCCTGCTTGTTAGAATTTCTAATTTCCATTTGTTAGATTTTTTGTTTGTAGCTAACTCGCGATCTTTTCAACTATTTTAATGTTGTTGGGTCATCTTTTGATAATATTTGGTTTTACGGCACGTAATGTTTTCTGGCAAGGTAAGGTCATACTTATATTTTTATTTATTTTTATTTTTCTGAATTAACTTTAAAATTTTCTATTGATAAAAATGTTACAATCTTGAAAAAGTACGAAATTTAACGCGTGGATTATAAAATTTATGTTATAGGTTCAACGTATTGTGACAGCTACGATCTACAAGAAAAAATGAGTCAGACATGAAATATGAAATGCGATTGAGGTGAGAATATGTTGCATTATCTTTTATGTTATTTTATTTTAAAAATTATATGTTTACCTCTTGTAAGATGAAAATGTTTTATACTTGAATCTATTTTAATGTCAACAAACATTTTAGGTGTGGTAAGCACTGTGGACGAGTCTCTCAACGTTAATGTTTTTCTTTATGAATGTTAACATTGTACAGATAATTGTGCATGCTTTATTATTAACTTACGATTTTTTTTTTAATTTTTTTTGGTAAATTACTTGAGATTTTAAATATGAATGAAGTTTTAAAGATTCGTACTATGGATTTTACCTAAAAATTTTATTTTATATTTTAAAATTTCAAAGTCAATAATAGGGATTTAAAACTAACAAGGATGACGTTAAGAGTCATAAAAAGAGATAAATTATTCCTAAAATTAAGACTCATATATTAAAATATAACACATTAATTTTTTTGAAGGAGAGTGTAACTTTTTAAAATAAAAGGAAGAATAGTGTAATGTAAACATCTAAACAAAAAACATGTAAGTATAATTTACCCAGCATATTAAAACAGAAACAGTATTTCGTCAAACCTTTCGCCCAAACTGGTTATAGTTTGGATTTGATTATCAATTTTCCGTTTTTAATAAGCATATATAATGCCACTATAAATCGTTAATAAGATTGATGATCTTTCCTGATCTTGAATGGGGCGAAAGTATTGGTAATTTCAACTGATCCAAACTTTCACTTAAAAAAAAGAGTATTGGTAATTTCAACTTTCAAGTAATTAAAGATAGGAAAATTATTTATGTTGCTTATGGAGAAATTTTTTTATGCCACACTTATATGAAAATGAGTGGATTTCAATGATATTTTTTTTTTCTCTTTATAATGAGACTCATTTTTAGGGGTGTTCCCGGTATGGATAGGATCAGTTTTGGAAGCAAAAATCATTCAATCCAATTTCTTCGGTTTGATTATGTAATCATCCATTCGGTTTAGATTTTTTTTTCAAATTTAATCTGATCCAATCCAATTTTATTCGATTTGGATTGGTCAGTTTTTGATTTTTTGAAAATTCTAAAATTTATTTCATGATTATTGTGCAAATAACATCTTTTGTATACATTGGCTTTGTAATTTTTTTTAATACAAAAGCATTGATAATATTTTTTTTTTTTGGGTAATGAGATATGAAGCTCTACACAGATGAAATCTTGTTGATGAGATGCGATTAAGTTTTTTCTTGTGTTTTGTTGATGGGTTAGAGGGTCTTTAATTTAGAAATTTTTGGGCTACGATTGGGGAAAGACCCAAATAGGTAGAGCGGAATTAATATATTGGATCTGTTTGGATTGAATCGATTTTCATTAACCAATCCAAAAATCGATTTTCATTAACCAATCCGAAAATCGATTCAATACAATTAAAATTTGCGATTTTTTTTTGAATTTTCGATTTATTCGGTTATCGATTTTTCGCTTCGATTACCGCGGTTTGAATAACACTTCCACTCATGTTCTGTAGAGAAGTTTTTTTTTTTGTTGGGAAAACAAAAACATTAAACACGTAAAAGATCCAACCCCAAAAAAACATTAGGTAAAAACGGATGAAGAAAGGAGCTGTGCATGCCACTCAAATAGGAAGAACCTGGGAGCCATAATGGCCCTACAGAAAACGAGGTTCCCTTTTGTTGTTGTTACCTACATTCTCTGCACTCTCTCTCCAAATGGGTTGCCCACTCTTCCCTCTTACATAGACTCAGAATCCATTTCAACGAGTTTTTTTTTATTTTTTTCAAAAGCAATTTTTTTTTCTTCAGAAAAAGTGCATTTCTATGAAAAAGTATGTTTGAATAACTGTTTTTTAAAAAGTAGAAGTGATAAACAAAGTCAAAAATTCTTTTTTTAAGTTAAAAATTTTAACTTCTAAAAAATACAAAGTCAAAAATAAAATATTTTTTTTTTCAAAAATCAAATATTTTTTAAAAATCTAAATAATTTTAATTTTTGTGAAAAAACACTTCTAAGATAAATAAAACATAAATAACATTTTTTTTGAAAGGCCATCCCAACATGCCAAATTCTTGGTTGAGTAGACATTGGACACTCCAATATTAAACTTGTACCGTTGGAATCTATAAGTCCACTATGTTCCCTTTGGAGGGGGTTGTCACTATATGGATGGTACCACTAGCTTAGGTAAAGACCAGGCTAGATGGTATGATTCCAAGTATAACAAGTTAATAACAATTGAGGAATGATGGTTAAATATGTGACTTAATAGAAATGGGCATAATAATGATACATAAGATAGATCTTAAGCTGTGCCCATGAGGGCTATTTATAAGAAAGAGGGCTATTTATAAGAAAGATGGTGTGGGTTGGTGAGGAGGGGGTCAACCCTCCTTGGGATATACTCTCATGATGGCAGTGTTGGGCGTGGTTGGCGCTGCCATTGTGGCAGCGCTGCGCCTTCTGCATCTGGCACTGTCAGCACTGGGCAAAGGGGCAGTTTCCCTTTATGGTGCCTGTGGCGGTTGCCTTTGGTGGTTAGCGTCCCAAGATGGGACATTTCAGTGTATCCCTTGGACGTGCTGCAGGGTTGGAGGATGTGCGGATCCACGTCAGCCCTTAGGGCTGACACGGGTTGGGGCTAAGGATTGGGCCTGAACAGCTGGGCCGCTTCAGCGTTTGGGCCATCCAGAACAAAACTTGATTAGGATTGTGTGACCAAGACATAATGCAACAATCTCGAAAACAACAAATGAGGTCGAAGCAATTTAAGAATAGTAGCATCTTATATTATGTGGATATGAGGTTGTTGCTCATAGGAAGTAGATACACAACTAAAAATGAAGCACCGTTTGTTTTTCACTCTCAATTCCTACATAGACACCTAAGGATGGTCCCCTTGGATATTTTTCTGTGTTCCTTTGTTGGAAATCGACAACACACAAATCGAAAACGGAAAAGTAAAAGAGAGAGAGAATAGTACCTAGCTTCTACGGGCCAGGGGGCGCTGCCCCCGGACCCCCGCCCGCTCACCTGGGCCTCATCAGTATGCGAAGTATGAGCCATACCCAACATCCTTCTTATTCTATTGTCCTAACATACCATGGTACTGTCGTGAAATCGCCATTGCTATATATGTCTTCAAATTCAGTCCACAACCACAAGTGAAGAAACTATATACAGCAATTGAAAATGCCTCAAACTGGTTTTCAACTAAATCAATTTAAAGCATAGGAGGAAAGCTTCGTAGCACTGAAATTTACATTCAAGGCTGAATTTGTTGTCTCCTTATGTTATGGATATGATAAAAGCTGTCATCCTAGAAAGGCCAACAGCTAAAGAGGAAAATTAAAGAAAGACTCCTTAATTGCATTGAGTCTGCAATATTTCTAAAAAGCCTAGAAATATCACTCATGTCAAGTAACCCATCTATAAATAAAGAGTTAAGCAAATAAGGTACACACATTCTAAACTCTCTCTTGTGCTCAATATCTCTCCCATAGATACATGAGAGGGCACACAGATCCAATAGAAACATCTCAAGCACCAGTTGGACATCTTTGTCCATAGGACAGAACATTGGCATAGTTTGTGAAGAATCGATATAAACTTCGATTCCCACCCAATAGTGGTGAAAGCGCAGCAGCCGCCACCACATCCAAAGTCAGCAGTCATTCAAGGCTGACTAGAGTAACAAGCATGATGAAACCGAGATAAGGGATCGTGATTATGATAGAGATCGAGACTGGTATTGGATCGAGATCATGACTGTGATTGAGATTGCCATTGTCGTCATGATCGTGATGGGTCACATGCGGATTATCAAAGTGCCAAAAGCAAATATAATGGGGCAAAAAAAATAACTTTGAATGACCAGGATGATTATATTGATGCTAAATCTAGAATTACTGAAGGGTCAATACCTTGGGGGCGTTTGTTACAAGGTATTTCTTAGGATTCCTGGGAAACTGAATATTTCTAAATTTTTTATTTTCAGATATTATCGTAAACTGAATGTTTCCATCATATTTTTGAAAATCGTGATTCTCGTATAAAAAAAAAAAAATTCCTCTACCAAACGCCGATGGATAGGAGAGAAGCTTGAGCAGCGGTAAAGTTAGCTGATCCTAATATGGCGTCCAAGGCAAAATATTTCTTAGTAATACGCCACTTTTGTGAGCAGAAACACAACAAGGCAGACAAAGAGATACAACTCAGCGAAATTAGCATCAACACCAAGCATCGATGGACTTCACTCATCGTTAATGACATTGGCTTCAGAAATACAACTCAGATAAGGAAATAATTCCTTCTACTTTAATTTGATTTATTTCCTTCATTTCAATTCATATGATATGGCTCAGATAAGAAAAGGACACGAGATCCACTCAGAAAAGGAAGGAGATCCACTCAGATAAGGAAATAACTCCTTCTACTTTAATTTGATTTATTTCCTTCCTTTCAATTCATATGACATGGCTCAAATAAGAAAAGGAAGGAGATACACTTAGATAAGGAAATAATTCCTTCTACCATAATTTGATTTATTTCCTTCCTTTCAGTTCATATGATATAGCTCAAATAAAAAAAAAGGAAGGAGATCCACTCATAAGGAAATAATTCCTTCAACCTTAATTTGATTTATACTTTAATTTGAATTTATTTCTTTCCTTTCAAATCATATGATATGGCTCAAATAAAGAAAAGTCGGGAGATCCTCTTCAGATAAGGACAATTCCTTCTAGTTTAATTTGATTATATTCTTTTTTATGATATGGCTCAAATAAGGAAAGGCACAAAATACGAGTCAGATAACTTTAATTTGTTTTTAATTACCTTCTTTTAATTGGACATGCTCAAAACGGCAAAAAAGCCATCACCTTTGCCAGTGAAGCAATTTGGCCATAGGGCCGCGCTCCAAAGCAACCCAACCAAAGCCTCAAGTTCCAAATTCATAAACTCAGGCATCGATCCGAGATACAAATCAGCCCGGCCACGGCCTCGAGCTCCAAGATAAAGATGAAGACAGAATAATCATATATTGCTTTTTACATACACTTAAATCTTCCCTATAAAAGTCCTCAGCCATGCTTACAGGTAGCAACTTGTCCCACAATCTTTTTACACTTAAAACTTTTTGTTGGAAGTCGGTGGTGCAATACCTTCCACATGAACAATTTTATACGTTGCGACTCTTCCATTTCCACAAAGTCTACCATTCTTTCACTTGCTGAACTGAGGACTGATTCATATCAGCCAAATAATCATATATTGCTTTTGTAGTGACACATTTTCCACCCTTTAAGGCCTATATCTTTTTGTCATAGCCATCTTGTGGATCTGGTGGGAGGAATGCTTAACAAGACCGACTTTGGAAGCTAATGTTTCAACATCCCAATTTCCTTCTCTGTTGACATATTTTGGCATTTTTTTCCTGCACTTCCGTATTTGGTACCATTTGTGTAGCTGCCTCAAGGAGGTTATGATCAGCGCTTTGCCATTTATCTTGCCAAAATCTTATTTGATTTCCATCTCCAACTTCCCAAGCACTACAACCTTCTAGGCGTTTTCATATTCTACAAATATTCATCCAAAGGCGAGAGTCTCCCTTTTTATTAACAAAAAGTTCATTATCTCTCCTTTTGTTGCAGTATTTGCCACGTAGAAACTTGACCCAGAGCGAGTTTGAATCTGAAAATATCCTCAATGCCAATTTAGCTAGAAATGCATCATTCGTCAACGAAAGTCTTTTTAAGCCTAGTCCCCCTATTTCTTTAGGCTTGGTAATGTTGTCCCAGTTGATAAGGTGGAGTCGCCGATGATAAGTTGTGTCCCCCTAAATAAAATCCCATTGTAGTCTTTCAACTTCATCACAAATAGCTAATGGTAACTTCCCACTTTGCATATGAAAAGTGGGTATTGCTGATAGCACCTCTTGAGCTGGAGTGATTCTCCCAGCTTGTGATAGGCACATTCCTCACCACCCTTTAAAGCCATCCCTTACTCTCTCTACCACTCCTGAATTATCACTTTTTGTTACACGACCATGTTGCATCCAGGCACCCAAATAACTATCCACACTTCTCACACGTTTGAAACCACTTGCCTCTGAAATAGTGTCAGTTGTAACTTCTGAAGTATGCTTCGAAAAGAAGATAGGCGTTCTTTGGATACTGATTTTTTGATCAGAAATCTCAGCAAATAGTTGAAGACATTGCAAAATAATCTCTACTACTGTAATTAAAATAAATTCTAACTAATTTTGTCAAAATTTTCTAATTGTGTAATATAGATATTCAATTTATCGTTGAAAAGACTAATGAATTTACTAATATTGTCTAGAACATCTGCTTTTGAATCCATATGCACACAACTTTTCTATGGCTCTGCATCCACGAACTGAATTCGTATCCCCATATTTATTTTAAAACAGATGAGGGGGTATTTTACCAAAAAAGAAAAGAAAAGATGAGGGGGTGAATTTTGAAAAGAAGATAACATTAAGGTAGGGGAGACATAGTGTCTAGTCTATATTTCATAATGCTGTCTTATACTCATTGCGTCTTGCGTCTTTCTCTCCACAATGTCAAAATGCTTGCAGACTTCTTTGTCGGATTGCAGCAAATTGACCTTCCGCATAAACCCTCAGAATTTTTTATTATTCAAAGGCTTAGAGCAGGTTTATTTACAAAAAACTATATATGCAAGCATGTATAGGAAACCAAGTTTTTCACTTGAACTGCAAAATCGAGATTCTTCTTGTTTCATAACTGTAATCATTTATCCGGTCGTAAAGCGAGATGATCGGCTACTTGGAATTGTGCGATGCCCTTTGAATAGGGCTTTCAGATTCGGGATACATTTAGGAGTCAGAACCTGGGTATCATACAAATGAAAAATACCATATAGTTAAAGAATCACACACGGACTCGTATTATAAAATAACTGTCACACAACATCACCCATCTTAAAATAATTTACGAAAAAAAAAAAAAATATACGAGGGAATTCCAAAAGTGAGCTAGGTAAAAGCAGTCGAAAGCCGATTTAAAATGCATGAAACTAGTCATTTTATTTTTAGAGTATTGTTTTATATCACGAAGGGTTCTCATGAAATGTCTCATGGACCAGAGTCATGTTCATTTCATTTCTCCTCCTGTAGAGACTATAAGATTTCTAGATTTCTAGCTGAAGATGTTCCAGGATTCTTTGCTTAATGCTTATAACCCCTAGTTTGGGTTTTCTTTGGGCTTGTGCCCCCCTTTAATACAAAAAAAGAAAAAAAAAAAGAAAGACAAACCATCTAAACAAAATTTATCTGTTGTAATCATAGTTTGGTGCACATGTATGTATAGCAACTTGCCTATTTCCTCTTTTTATAATAAAAAAAATTAGTATTTTTCCATAGTCACTGCACTATAGTGGAATTTTTTCAAATTTTTTCCAAAATGTTGCATGCACCTACTCATGGCCCCCAATTAGCCCACAATGAGCCCAGAATTCGGGGCCATAAAACTTCTATTTGGGGCTGGTTTTAAGCAATTTAGGGTCATGCAGTCCCATATTGTGACTTTTGGAATTTTAAAAATTAAAACAAAGGGTGCAAAGAGTCCCTTTCATAATTTCATTCACTTCATACTTCTTTTCTTCCTTTTTCACATTTGTGTTGAACTTTTTGTTTTCTGATTTCTTTCTTTCTTTTTTGAGCACATACAATCCTCTTCAATGTACATTTACTCTCTTTTTAGTAAAACAATGTTAGTATAAAAAAGATAAAAAGGTGAGAGTAATAAAATGTACATTTTGGATTAAAGGTGGATGCAGTAGAATAATCAATATCCTTGCCCATTAAATTGGGGCATCAACCCCTCTTGAAGTGGCTATACTATACTGGCTACATAAACCAAAGATGCTAAAAACCAATGATACACCACAAGTTCTTAAAAGCTAAAATTCCGTACATTTGGTGATTTTAGTCATAAAAAATACTTGGCAGTTAAAATTATATAGCAGTCTACCACAACTAGGTCCAAAAATTGATGAAAAATTAAGTTTCACATTAAAGAGAGATACCTTCCATTGACTCTTTTGATCAAGATGGTAGCTAATGTCTTCCAATCTTCCAATTATTTGCCTAAATGTTGGTCTTCTGTATGGTTTATCATCCCAACATTCCTCAATTAATCTACAGAAAAATCAAATTTCATAAATGTAAAAAACTTATACTTCAACATTCAAATCTGCTGCTAATAGAATGTATCTAAAATACTCACTGTTTTAGTCCATAAGCATAAAGCTTTTGTGAAGCTCTGAATGGTGGACGCTCATTTTCAACATATGCTTTAGGAACTTCACTTTCGGGCTTTGCATGAAAAGGAAGACAACCTTCAATCATCTAGAGCAACAGAAAACCATATATGTTCCGGTCAATATTTTGCTGAAAATATCTAAAAAATAAGGATGTCAATCTGTATATTCTAGATTTAAAATTGACCATCCTCCACAAATAAAATAATCATCTAATGAACTGTATCCGGCAAAACAGTTAAAGAATCGAACATTATGTCTTTACAAGTTTACATAAAAAAAATTTACAAAAGAACCATGCAAGCACTAATACAACAGCAAATTCTTGAGCATTACATCTTACCAAAATGATCATGAATATGATAAATACATACATAATATTCATATTTCTATAGGTGAATCTATGGAGAGCTCAAAATCTCTAGAACTTTACCTCTTGTCCATTAAATCAACCTTAAAATATGTAATAAAAAAATATATAAAATTATATATAATACACAAATTTTTGTGGATTGAATTCAATACACAACATGAAGAAATTTGAATGCTGAAAGCAACAAGCGATACACCACTCAATAGAACCTTTTCTTGGAATTACAAAACCTTTTTACCAATGTGAATAATACAAATATGTGCGTGCATGCGCATGTGCGGGGGACATATCCTGTTCATATAATCTCACATGGATGACCAGGATTATAAGTTACTTACCCCATGATCACTTAAAAAAGTCACTTAATTTTATATTCAGGATCCCTTAACAATAAATGTTTTTGATTGGTTCAAATAAAGAACATAGAAAGCAAAACGAAACAGAATGTAAATACACATTGCTAAAGATTATATCAAGGATGCTTCATGCCTCAGAGAAGTAAATGCAATTAACTGCCTTCTAAATTATTTATGAGCTGAGGTAAACAGGAATTAGCAAGGATAGGTAGTATTGAAATAGCATGTGCTGTTTAGTCCAATACCACAATAATCATCATCATGCTGATATTCATCAAACTGGTTTTATATTTATTATTTAGTTTGCAAGGTTAGGGTTTTTAAGTTTTATTTTTGGACCAGAGAAGAAGAAAAAAAACTCACATAATAAGGGTAAATAGTTAACTTAGAAGTCAATAAAAGCTACAGAATAAGGAAAACATGATGCATGAAAATATGAGCAATAATAAGTTTACCTCCTGTAATATCAGAGCAAATGAAAACACATCCACTTTGGTGTCATATTCCTCATTTCTATAGACCTCTGGAGCAACATAGCGCCCTGTTACACATTTGAATTACTTCATTAATAAGAACTACAAAAATCAGCAACAATCACAACAGAATAAAAAAGAAGCCATTGATAAATTCATAAAGTTATTTGATAAATTCAAATTAGCGAAGTTGAAGTACCATCTGATAAACTGTCTTCAGTAGCCACTGTGTAAACAGCAATTTTTTATGGCAGAATATGTGACAGATGGCAGATTACAGGCCCAATATAATAATGGTTTGCAATATTACCTTTATGCAGAATGACATGACCAACAATGAATGTTATAAGGCTCCACAAAAGAAGAAAACATACATGATGTGTCCTGGCTTGTCACAGGTTTGTCTTCTTTGACTGTTTTAGCAACTTTGAGTAATTTGCTAACTCCAAAGTCTGCAACTTTCAGATGCCCAGAATCATCCCGCAGTATATTTCTGTTAGCTTACTCATGTACAATAAAGAACCTTTAAACAGTTTCAATCATTTAAGAATGAATAAATGATGCATGCTTCTACTGAATAATCCATATTACTTCTTACACACGCTGCAAGAATATTAAAATCAACTAAATGGAGCACAAGAGTAGAAAACATACGAAGGCTCAAGATCTCGGTGTATAATAGCTTCTGGTTTATGTTCATGCAAATAATTCATTCCCCTGCATAATATACATAAAAATATCACATTTACTACAAGTATCTAATTGCAATTTTTTTTATATAAGAGAACAATTTTATTTTAAGTTGAATTCTTCCAAATAAAAAAATTGGGGAAATCGTTTCCTCACAAACCCACTGAAATCTATCGATAAATTCATAATACGAAGCTTTTAACTGACCTAGCAATATCAAGTGCAAACTTCACAGCTGTTATCGGTTTTAATGCACGTTTCTGCTTCAAGTAAGCACGAAGATCACCCTGAAAAAAGATGATAATCCATTCCAAATTGTTAGAAATTAAATTTGTGAAAGATACAGAGCATAATTAAACCACATTACAGACAAAAGTAGAGATATCTCCCTAAGTATTGCAAATAGTACCCATTCTACATGTATATCCATATTTATTTATTTCTAGAATTCCCACATAAACTTGTATGTATTCATGGTCACCGTTTCATATATATGCACTGCCCCTATTTTTTCACCACTTTGCAGATATGAAGTGGAATCCCCAATAAACATAAACAAATCTCCCATATTGGTGCCTAGTCCATTTGGGGGAAGAGATCAAGAAAGTACTGGATATAAACTGGTATCTGTTATCAATAATTGAATTCCTTCATTGCAGATATTCATAACTTCTAGACAGAACAGGGCCACATTTGATTGGCCTATGCGAATAACTACTGCCTATGCGAATAACATTTTATGATATTAAGTTCTTAAGCTTACATACTCACTTTCTCTCTAAACTCTAAAGACTATATCCACAAACTTCTGACCACATAGTTTACTCTGTAAAGCAGTCTTCTACTCACTATTCTATGTGAAAGTCAACCAACCAACATGATTTGTTCAAAAATACTATGAGCAAATATACATGATCATCAAAATCTTCCTTATAGCCAGAGTAGGATCAAGACTAACCAAGGGTAGATATTCTACGACAATCATCATCGGGGTGCTTTGCGTTACAGCGCCCAAAAACTGGACAACATTTGGATGCCTTATTTTCTGAAGTAATGTAAGCTCATCATGAAATGCCCTTCTAAGAGACAGTCAAGGACATTAAAAACCCATTATGAGAATACAATTTGTGAACTGAAAAATCCAATTATCCCAAACAAAATAACAGATTGTATAATTAGACCAACTCACACTTTTTCATCATCGTTGAACACTTCCTCCCCAAAAGTTTTGACAGCAACTTGAATTCCACGCCACAATGCAATCCGGAAAGTCCCCTGAAGTTAAAAATACACTCGACATATAAAATGCAATGCAAAAATCAAAGGAATAAAACAATGAATTACTAACAAAGGAAGCTGGAATTTCCACCTTTGTTATGCAAACGCTATTAGTAAAATCAAGCTCAGAAGGATCAATCTCATATTCTGGGACTTCACGAGCATTTTGGACATGCATGGGAGCCATCTAGAAAAAAGAAAGAAAGAAGGATGTTAGAATGATGAATGAAATAAAAGGAAAATGGAAATGAAATGAAAATACAAACCGGGGGTTGTGCACCATGTTTCTCCAAAAGTTTTACAACATCATGATTTTTGTAGTACAACGCATCTGCTAGAGGCTATTAAACAAAGTAGAAATTAGTATTAGTGTTAGTGTTAATGTTAAGTCATAGTCAGAACTACAAGAAGAGAGAAAGAAAAAGGTAGCATTACGGTGCTGCCCCAGCGGTCGCGTGGGTCAACCTGAGCACCTCGTCGGAGCAACAAGTCGACGACGTCGGTACGGCCCTGACAGGCGGCGACATGTAGAGCGGTGCGGCCATCAATGTCTCTGAAATTGACGTCACTCCCTCCATCCAACAACTCCTTAATCCCATCCAAGTCCCCTTCGTTCGCCAAATACATCAACCGAACCGACGGGTCCAAAGCCTCCGACAACTCATCCTCGCCGGCGCCGGCATCGTCGCGTTCCGGCGCCATAGAGGATTGCCTACCCAGCGAGAAGCGACGCTGAAGCTTCTTGTTCTCCATTGAAAATGGAGAGAGAGAGAGAGAGAGAGAGAGAGAGGTAGTTAGACCTAATTGCAGTGACTGAGAGGTGGGAATGAGGGTTTTAGAGAGTGAGAGATTCGAAGATGGAAAAAAAGAAGAAAGCAAATGGAGAAAGAATATGATGTTACATTGACCACAATATAAGAATAAGAATGACAAAGGAAAGGGATCCCATAAGAGGATCAGATTCTTTGTGTTTTGCCACAAAGTCTTCAAATCTTGACGTCACTTACTTCCTAGACACTCCAAATCCAACTTCGTGAGGAGGAGGAGGAGGAGGAAGGTCGACAATGGTCTCAATGCACTATCATTAATTCAAAAGTATACGCATAATTATATCTTATTTTTTATTTTTTTACGTATAAAAATGTATAAGCCATATTTTTAGCTAACGAAACTTCACCCTTTTTTTTTGTTTTTAGCTACAGCCTAGAAACTTTACCAATTTAATTACGTATCTAAGTAGTATATTTAACACAAGGTAGAATAACAGTTTTGTCTTTCATCAATTCGCGTCAACAGACTTTTCAATTCGCGTGAACAGACTATTTATTAGAACAGACTTTTCAGTTTGAAAAAGACAAATAAAAAAGTGAATTTTATACAAAAAAAAATAAAATAAAAAAGTGAATAAATACCTTTTTTTTTTTGTTCCCTCGACAAATTTCACAAAATACTTTTTGGTGCTATCAATTAAAAAGGGCACTTCTGGTCCCAAAAATTTTAAAAAATAAGTCACGTTAGTTTTTCTGTTAGTTGGCATCCAACGACCAATGTAACGTTAAACACTTGTCATGTTGGTTTGATGACTCAGAAAGAAACAGTTCACTGAAAAAAATACGACGACGTTTTGAAGATGAGTTGCATCTCCATGGTCGTTGATCGTAGACTTGACGTAGCAGCGAAGGGTAACCTGACCCAATAAAGGGGTAAATTGAGAATCCTAAATCAGTTGTAACCTAAAAAATTCTCCAAAAGCTCCGCACATTAATGACTGCAAATTGACAACAGTAGAAGTGAAATATTGGGGCGTAGGAGAAGATGAGTCTTTATTCTGGCTTGGGGGCTCAAGTGGAAGTACTTCAATCGGGGGTAGAACCCTAACAAGGACTGGGAACAGTGACCATTGTGCCACTGTTCACCAACTTTTTTACCTAAATGCCACGCGAACAGTGTTATTTTTCAATCTGCCACGGGACAAGTTCGCTTCTGACACAAGCGACCTCGGTTTGCTGACGTGTCAGCTTCCTGGTAGTGTCAGAGTTCGCTTTTGACACAGGCGACCTCGGTTCCAACAATATTTTAACCAAGTTCGCCTACATGGTAGGCAAACTTCATTTTTTCTGAATTTTTTTTTTTAAATTTAATACTTGTTATCCACTAAAAATGTGACACGTCAGCAAACCGAGGTCGCTTGTGTCAGAAGCGAACTTGCCCCCGTGGCAGATTAGGAAATAACAATGTTCGCGTGGCATTTAGGTAAAAAAGTTGGTGAACAGTGGCATTTTGGTCAGTATCCCCAAGGACTGCCGGTCGAAGGTGTAAATGTGTGAGGCAAACTATTGTGTATACATCCAAAACTAAGAGAAATCCAAACAGGGCATTCTTTGGGTGCCCCAGCTTCAAGTATACATGTGTAATATGTGTTGATTTAAGTTGCTGCATATGCTCACCGTGGTTTGTTTTGCTGGCAGGAAAAAAAGCCATTTTGTGATTTTTTTTAGATGGGTAGATGACGTATATATTGAAAGGATGGAGCTGGAAGAAGGAAGAAGGAAGAATACACAAGGTGGAGTTGGATCTTGCTGACTTGGAATTCAAGTTGAAGTATGTGGACATGATGATGAGTCAACAATTGCAAGTTAAGCTGAATGAACAAGGTGTGAAGATTACTAAGCAAGAACTGAAGATTAATGACCAAGAAAGAAAGCTGAATGAGCTATACCTGAAGATGGTTTCAGAGCTAGATAGGATGGACAAGGAAATTAGGCATGTTGGTAGGAGGGCTAGGGTCTTAGTTGGTCTGATCAACATGTGTATCTTTGTTGCAAGTATGCTAACAATCAAAACAAGTGTACCCAATGTAATTTTTCTTAACTGAAGTGTAATGAGTACTGAGTACTTTTTTGAGCAAATTAATAAAGAAACTTAATTTACATGGCTTGTTTTTTATTGCCTGCTCAAGCTTAGTTTACTGAAGTCTAATTTTTCTGCTAAAGCTCAAACTATATGTAATGGCCTGCTCAAGCTTATGGGACCACGAGTGCCCTTTTTAATTGCTAGGGACCAAAAAGGGCTTCGTGAAATTTGTCAGGGACCAAAAATGGTATTTACTAATTTTCTTTTGTGCTATATTTTTCTGCTCAAGCTCAAACTATATGTAATGGCCTGCTCAAGCTCGTGGATTATTCCTTGCCATCTGTTTGCATCAAATTGTTTTAGTCCTTTGGTTGTCTCCTCTGCCATCTGAAGATCACTATCTGTTGTATAAGCAAATGCTTAGCTCCACTGCCAATCCAAATTAAAGGGATTGAGTTGTTTCTCTACATACTTAGGTTATGTGAATAGTGGTACCCCGAACCACAGTTCATTGTATCAGAGCAATCATTGTATTAGTACAACCATACAACATATACTCTCATATGACATGTAATAATCAGAAATTAAGAAACATATCAGATTTCAATACAAAACATCAGAATTTAAGAAACATCAGATTTGAAAACAAAACATCAGAATTTAAGAAACATCATATTTGAATACAAAACATCAGAATTTAAGAAACATCATTAATTTATAGATTTCATTCATTTACAGGAAGGGTTTACAAAATGAAGCCAATTGTGCTGTCAATAAGAAAGAATAAAAAAAAGCTTATAATACAAAATGGCCTTTAAAGCACTGTTGAGTACAATTAGAAAGGGGTACAACAAAATAACCATATTGGCCTTTAATACTAAATGGCTCGAAATACATAATGGTCAGGAATTCCAAAACCGTTCACATAATAAGTATTCCTTCATCAGTTGTCTATGCAAAACTCCCACACCATAGATATCAGATGCTCATTTTCTTGAGGCAGGCCTTGGTGGCTTAAACCCAGGTGTGGAAATGAAGGCCAATAATCTATTTCGTGTGCCAATGCTAGCTGCATTTATAGTTTCATTACTCAAAACTTCAGTTGCCTATGGTGGATTTGATGGAGGTAGGCTGCTACCTCTCAAGTTTCCCTCATCTGGCTGAGAACTGCCCACTGGTGCAGGGCCTCCTTGACTTATAGGGATTTCTTCCACTGATCTTGATGTTATTCTGACATTGATTGGATTTGCTTGTCTTGCTAGTCTCTTCCCTTTCTTACTACTCGTTGGTCCCTTACGTGTCTTTGTATAGTGTCCAAACTGACCACATTTAGGACATTTAGCTGCATAGGTCCTTTTAACTTCTTTTTTTTTGTTCTTCACTTGAGTCATTTCTCCTGTGTTTCTTGGGATGCCCAATTGGCTTTTTCAGTGGTGGAGGAATAGGTTTGGGTTCATCAGATGAAGGGTAATACTGGTCTGAATTTACTGGGTTCAATGTGTGTGCATAAGTGGCATGCAAAGCATCCAATGTAAGCCATTGGTGCATATAATTCTCAGGATGTTCATTCTTGTAACAAATGGCTGCTATTGCATGCTCACATGGCAGTCCAGTCAACTACCATGCATTGCAGGCACAAGTTTGAGTTGTTAAATTCACTCCAACCCTCTCACATTTGCCACTGACTTCATAGATATCTTGATGCAGATTCCCTGTCCATGTAGATGTCCATGAATTGTTGAGTACCTTTAATTGATCAAGCTTCTTGTGTTGTGCATGAGCTATTTTACCTTTAATATTTCCCAGAACCCTTTGATGTGCTGCCATCCTCCTCATGATGTAACACCTAAATTCCTCACAAAGACTTATTATTGGCTTGGACCTATAACCTACAATATTGGTATTCCAAATCTCTGCCATTTTGTTTGTTATGTTGTCACACTTAGGCTAGTGACTGAAATATGCCTTGACCCAACAAGAGGGATCAATGTTGTCCAAATACTTCCAAGTTGCTTCATTTAACCCTTTCAAACGTTGCATGGTTTTCTTGAACTGTGGAACAGTGTTGCATCTTGCATACTTCCAAACAATGCCTCTGATGGTCTTATCTTTCCACTGTTTTATAAAAATTCTCCACACATGATGCACACAAAATCAATGATGTGCACCAGGCATGACCTCTTTCAAAGCTGGAATCAAGCCCTACGTACAGAAACCAAACAACAAAAAACCATGAGATAATGAGGACCATTGTCAAATAAACAGACCACATTGAAACAAATAAGACACAATACCATACATACCTTCTGTTGATCTAAAATAAAGTTCCAACCATAGACTCCATGGTTGCCAATGTCTTCTTGTAACAGAGTCAAAACCATTTCCAGTTCTCCTTGGTTTCACTATCCACCATTGCATACGCAATTACATAGAAGCTCTTGTTTGCATCCTCACCAACTACACTCAACAACTGTCCTCCATAGTATCTTTTTAAAAAATAACCATCCAGACCAATTAATGGCCTACAACAGCTTTGAACCCTTTCTTACATGCATCAAGACATATATACATTTTCGAAAATATTGGTGGGGCTTGTGGGTCAGGTTGGGGTATGACTTGCATCTGACAAGTGGAGCCAAGATTGCTTCTCAAAAGCTCCCCTAGGTAGTCTCTTAACTTTGAATATTGTTCCTTCTCACATCCTTCAATTCTGCCATTGGCTTTATGAAGTGTTTGTATTTTCTAAACCCTAACCATAACTTTAGCAGGGACCACACACGGGGGACCATATTCAACATAAATTACAGAACCATTGTGAGGGGACCACATATAAAGTTCAATTTCTTACAACACGTACCTTCCTGCATATGAGTTAACACCCACAATCATACTCTCCTCCTACCACCAAAAAAGTAGCCGTGTTCCAAATCCTTGCAAATGCATGCACGATCTCCACCCAGAAACCACCCCAACGCACAATGCTGACCACTAATGAAGCTCAGGAGTAAACTTGGGGGTTCTTCGCAAGTAACCAATACAGTTAGTGTGTCACAACAGTAACGACCAAGGTAGTGGATGAGTAATCTCAACGAATGAAGTCGTCTGCTGCTTATAATACACTCTTTCTAAGTCAACTTCAAAACGTCATCGTCTTTTTCCCATGGTGGACTGTTTCTTTCTGAGTCAGCAAACTAACGTGACAAGTGTGCACCGTTACATTAGCCGTTGGATGCCAACTAACAGAAGGACTAACGTGGTTTGTTTTTTAAAATTTATGGGACCACGAGTGCCCTTTTTAATTGCTAGGGACCAAAAAGGGTTTCACAAAATTTGTCAAGGACCAAAAATGATATTTACTCTAAAAAAGTATAGCCACAATTTTGTCTTTTATCAATTTGCGTGAATAGACTTTTTTCCTTTGAAGATTTTTTAAAAAAAAAACTATAGTAAAAGGGATTAGAATTTGTTCCTTTTTTTTAATATCCTTTTAAATATTGTAAAATTAAGTCATTTTAAATAAAAATAAATAAATAATGAAAATCATAAAGGAAAAGAATGATTTTTTTTTTTAAATTTAAAATTTAAATAAAAATACTACTTTTAACTATAAGGACCTTCCTTTAAAAGGATAAATATTTTTTCATATAATAAAAACAACAAATTTTTTAACCCCCTCATTTTTTCAATAAATTTTAAAAAATATATAAATGCTATAAAGTAATGGTTTTATTATTGAAATCTCGTTCTAATAAAAAAAATTTAAAACAAAAGGCCGCCGGACTTTGGTATAATTTTAGTAAGGAAAAGAACAGGAAAATAAAAGAAACTCATATTTAAAATTTAATTATTTTATTTATTTGAAGCATATATTTTTTGAACATTATGTGAATGATAATTTTATTTTATGATTTTTTTATCATATAATTTCATAGTATTATTTAAAGATGAAAATTGATAGATTAAAATATATACATTGAGTAAGATAAATAACAAACTTTTTTTTTCTGTAATACTCACATAAAAGTAATTTAGGTTTTACAAGATTTTTCTCTTCATTCTTTTTATAATTAGACCATTTAGTTTTATGTGAGTATACCAAAAAAAATTTACTACTAGAAAAATAGAAATATTTTTCTCTAAAATATATTCAAAATTATTTTTTCTATATCGATTTGTATAAAAATAGGGTATAATAATTTATAAATTTAAGCTTTAATTTTTTTTAATAATATAATACTAAAATTTTAAAAGTCCCATGAATTGGCCCTAACCTAACTCTGGACTCATTAGAGCTATTTAGCCCATAGATGGAGACCTCTTTAACCACCGGTTCTAGCCCACCAGGCATTCAAGAGATAGGTAATCAAAAATATCTAGCAACCGATGCGTGTGAAGGATTATGTTTGGGTCATTTATATCGCTGCTTAATAGTTTGATTTCCCCTTTAATTATCTGAATCAACAATGCTTAAGGAGGGTTATGAAACAAGTCTTTGATACTGATGTTAAATTCGAAGAGAGTCGTTAGATAAAAAAAATTAATAATTCTCATTTGTAAATATTTGATACCTTTAATTTTTTTTTATCTAACAACTCATAGATGAAAAGAAGTTACTCACTTAAATAATATAACTAGTAGAAATTTTGACTAACGAAGGTATCGAATAGCATATTTCAAATTCTCTCTCTTCTCATCTCCTTCACTTTCCTTCCCTCAAATTCTACATCTCTCCTGCTACACTGAAGAAGCCATTACTATGGCTTCCAAGCATCTAAGAAACCTGAATACTATCACCGTCCACCGTATTCTTCAATATCGGTTTCAATCTCTCGTCAAAGCTAGGTACTTCTCCCATGCTGAATTGCCTCAAAACCAGTCCCAGAGGCAGATCAGTGGCAAAGCTAAAGAACCTTCCGTTCACTCATCCTTGAAGGACAATGAGCTCGCCAAGTTTGCTGCCATTGCTGAAACCTGGTGAGCTTTCAATTTCGAGAGATTTGCTTTTGGTTTTTGCAATCGGAAAATTGTAAAACTTACTAATCTATAAGAATGGAAAGCTCGTGAACTTGGTTGTTATAGACACTGAATTGTATGAATTTTTATTAAAGGTGTGATTTTATTATCTACTGAATTTGCTGTAGTGTGCATGGTTTCTTTTTGTTTGTTCCCCATTTCCTCAAGGGCTGAAGTTCCAGTAAGAGAATGATGGTGAAATTTAGCGATGCGTGTGTCTTAGTTTGATAATATGGATAACATCTATTTGCCCTTTGCTTGATGTAATTAGGTGGGATTCTGAAGGCCCGTTTAAACCATTGCATGCAATGAATCCTACAAGACTTGCTTTCATCCGGTCTGTACTATGTAGACATTTTAAGTAAGTCAGCTCTTTTATGTTTATGTTTCCTATGTACTTACTACTTTTTGCAATTCATCAAGCCCTTGTTACCTTCATTTTGAGTCTTTGGGGTGTTTATTCTTGTAGTTGCTTTGACAGAATCTGCTATAATGTCAATTATGTTTTAATTCCATTCTTTTACTCATGGAATTTAGTGGGTTTAAGACATAATCTGGCTGTACTGGGTCAGATTCCAAGCCACAGTTTAAGTCTATTGCCTTTATTCATTAAACTTATTTTACCGATTGAGATAGCGTTATCATTTATGTAGCAGTTATAACTTATTAAACCAATATACTCGGTATTTGCGACACATACGATGGTACAAATTTGGTTTAATGCCTTCAGAAAATGATTGGTTCTAGTAAACCCATCGATTCAAATGTAATCCTATAAGGATATGTATGAAGATGACTCTAGTCAAGTATTTGTTAGCAAAAAAAGGCTAACAGAAGTATTTTTTTACAAAAACCAAGAATAAAAACAAAAGGGAAAAAGTTATAACTGATGATAATAGGTTTATATATTTGTTTTGTTCCTCTGGGTTACTATTGGATGATAATTAAATTCCCCTTGTCTCAGGAAGGACCCTTGCAGTGCTAAACCCCTTGAAGGACTTAAAATTGTTGATGTAGGTTGTGGAGGTGGAATTCTTTCTGAGGTATATCTTTTCTCCTTTTTCTTGTGATGACTGGAAAAGACCCTTTTCCTTTATATCCATTGGCCTATGATTTACTCTTTTTTTTTTTGGAGGAGGGGTTTCAAAGGTGACTACTATATTTGTTAGCTATAAATGCAGAAATCTAAATTTGGTGACTACATTACTTTTTATCGTAATCATTATGGGAATCTGTAGCATTATGTTGGGTAGAAATCTGGAGATGACTATATTTGTTAGGTAGAAATCTGGAAACCTAAATTCTTTCTTTCTTGTATATTCTCCTCCCTGTCACTTGAAGAGTATTAAGATTGTTATTTTCTTTTAACTGCAAATGTATTCTCTTTTTTTTTTATTGTTATTTATAGTTGTGCTTCTCTTTTGTTCTTCAGCCATTAGCTCGATTGGGAGCTACTGTGACGGGTGTTGATGCTGTCGAGAAGAATATCAAGATTGCTCAACTTCATGCTGTATGCTTATTTCATAATTTGACTATTGATATTTTGCTGTAGTTGTTTCCAATTTGAAATTTGTTAGAATTGTGCCTCCCAAATTGATTACATTAGTGTTTTTCGGTGGAAGCAGTTTTTGATACAAATGATACCGTACTAATATTAAGTAAGCTTAGTATATTACATCTTCATTATTAGCTGGACAACTTATTATTTCCTGTCCACAGGATTTGGATCCAACAACTTCAACTATTGAGTATTGTTGCACAACAGCCGGTACATATGCAAATCTTAATTCATTCCCTGTGCATGTCAAGCATTCCTGTATATTTGTTTTTCACATCTATGATGTGCATGCTTTAAGTCTGATTCCATTTGGAAACTATCCCACTTGTAACTATTGCTGAAGTGCCCCACTTTCCTGCTAAATGCTCTTACGGTTTGATGCAGAATCTTGATGAGAAGTCCAAGCCTAACCGGCATAATTTCCTTTATCTAATTTTCTGAGTAGTCTTTCCATGGGTTGCCCACCTTTGCTGGATAATTTATAGTTTGAAAAAGTTATGAGGTTATGATGTATTGGCTAGAAAAAGTTCAAATATTATATTTATAAATTATTTTTCACTTCCTATTTGCTTTTGTGGTTGTGGTTCTTAACTTCTTGTTATTCCTGCAGCTTGAAGTTGATAGTCATTTTAAGTTATTTATCTAAGAATTTATCTTTGGCCGTGGAGAAGTCAACTGACTGTTGACTTTTTGGAAAATAAACATATTTTTTTTTCTTTGATCTTATTTTGTCTCAGTAAGCACTTCTGCATACTAAACCGCCCAAGTGGGAGAATAAGTTTTGAATTAAAAGGCTAGTTACATATCCCTATTCCTTTGTTCCTTTGTATATTTGGAACTATTTTTGTTCTCACTTGTCATGTCCATCCAACTTCTTTGCTTGGCAATTATGTTGCATGCTTTTTAAAAAATTAAATGCTCTTGTACATCTATGATGGCTTCGGTAATCATTGCCAAAATAGCTTGCATTCATCTGGTTTGTTTAGAGTTGTCCTTTTGTTTTTGGGTATTCTGCATAGTGTTTTACAACCGACAATTTTTAATAGCTTTTCAAAATGATTGATCAGAGAAGATAGTTGAAGAAGGAAGAAAGTTTGATGCAGTTATGGCCTTGGAGGTAGTTTCTCTTTATGCCCGCTCCCTCTGATTTTGTGCTTACATATTCGGGTTCATAAACGTTGGGTTATATATATATATATATATGATAAATGTTTATAATATAGGGAGAATCCTAATGTTCCACTTAATCTAGTGCATAAAGCTAGAGATGAATATAGGTCTAGAGTCTAGACCAGATCCACTTAATGTTCCTGCATCATGAGATGCAGGTTGAGTTGACCTCCTTTTATAGAATAACTGAAATAATAGAGGCTCTTTTTAAATTTAGGTTAGAGCTTGTAATGATTGAACAAATCTTGACAGGTCTGTCCAGTATTAGTCCGAAAAAATTGCTTTAAATTCTATTTGGTAATTGTATCCACTTTGTTTGCTTTTAAATTGTCCCAGGTGATTGAGCATGTTGCAGATCCTGCAGACTTCTGCAAATCTCTGGCAGCATTAACAGTTCCGGATGGAGCTACCATCATATCGACAATTAATCGTTCTATGAGAGCATATGCAACTGCCATTGTTGCTGCAGAATACATTCTCCGCTGGGTATTATCCTCAATTTCATTCCACAATTTACTGGTTTTCATTTGAGGTTCTTCTTATGTCGGATCATTTTTTATACCATCCATCTCGGCACACACGTTATCTTCAAAAACATTGTGATTGACTGGTTGCAGTTGACATAATCAGACTATAACGCATTGATAAAATATTGATAGAAAGAGTACATGGGAAGCATTACAATTGGTATGATGCATGTTAAGAATTAGATGAAAATACAACGAGAAAATTTATAAGCCTGACCTATGTAGTAAGATCATTTTAAATCCATTCCATTTGAGTTGGCATTTTCTTCATCATATTTCTTGTGAAAAAGCGTTTACAATAATTAGTATCGGGCAATTTATTTGTGAAAATGTATAAGTGGCTGTTTTACACTAGAATGTCCATCCAAAAGTTTGCAATTGACATATTACATTTGCTTGCATTTGAAAATTGGCAGCTTCCAAAAGGCACACATCAGTGGTCTAGTTTTTTGACTCCAGAGGAACTAGCCCTGATACTGCAACGCGCCGATATAAATGTAAGCGACAGAAGTCTTGAATTATTATTTGTTTTTGGATCCCAATCCCAAATGATGGGTGCTTTTTTGGTTGCACAGGTGGAGGAGATGGCAGGATTTGTGTTTAATCCGGTGACAAGACGATGGTCTTTATCGGATGATATCAGCGTGAATTTCATTGCCTTTGGTACCAAAACAAGAAACACGGAATAGAATAGATATTATTTGGTACATACATGGGTTTTCCTATTTTAAAAATGTGAAATTGAGTTGTGCTTCCTCAAGCACATAAAAGCACGGAAGTGCAATAAAAAAAAATTAATTCTTTGATAATTTTATTTTAGGGATTGGTATTTATCCTTTTAAAGGATATAGAATTGTATTATTTTAAGTGAGAGAAAAAGATATACAATAGAAATTATGGGAAAGAAAATGAGAGGTTATTTTATTTTAATTTTAAATAAAAAATACTAATTTTAACTAAAATGACCATTATTTAAAAGGATAAATATTTCTTCCTTTATTTTATGGAATAATAGTTTAAATAGACAATGAGTGAGAGATATTAACTGCAAATCATAGTTCCTCTAACCTCTAATCGCTAATAATCAAAATAACTATCCTTTGTCTTCAATAGTAAGATTAAGTAATTGAGTCATCATCAATATTTATGTCTGTCTCTCCATTGTGTCCATCGTGCTTGGGACTAATTGGATAAGGTCTTCTAGAAATGATCATTTCTTTCCCCTTCTCAAAATATTTTAGAAGTGAAGCTCTCCTTGTTATCTCATATTTAAACCGAAAACTTGGAATTAAAGTATGGATTGACCTATATGTATTGAGCTCAATCACACACGGTTGAATCATTTTACGTTGTTGTTGGCCTGGGCCTAGTATTGCTGTCGGAATGATCTTGAGCTTTATCCTTCACGTTGGCACGTTGCACCAAATGGGAGGTACCTGCGAAGACACTCTGATGCTTAAGTTAGTATCAGAGGCAGGAGTGTTATGTTGTTAAAGTAAAGGATGATCGTACTTTGGTGGTGTATTGTGTGTTTATATAGTAACTGGGATGCCGCCTTAGTTAAAGCGGCTTGGCTTCTGAGTGGCCAGCCTTGGACTGCAGGTTATTTAGGGGACCTGTGTAGCCTTATCTTCCAGAGGCTCTAGTAGTAGATTTGAGGCAAGCTGGAGCTGTTCGTTATTTACCGGAGCTAAGGCGCGGTGGAGTTACCTTGAGCCTTAAGTTTACTTCTCTTAGAAGGTTTCATACGCGATATGAGAATCGAGTCTTATGTGCCGCGATGAGATCATCGCGTCCTGTATGTCGCGATGGGGGGATATCGCGTCTGGAACGCTGCAATGTGGGCATCGCGTCAATGCTTGTTTCTTGTGCTTCGGAAGGGCTTGAGCTTTTTTTATGGGGCTTTGATTGGTCCTATATTTTATCCGGTTACTTTGACCATGTTTAAATTGTCAGTACTAACAAAAGCGCTACAAGAGATTTTGTGTTGTTAGAATTATAAGTTGGTGACTAACTCATGTCTTCTCAAGAGGAAAATTTAGCTGCATAACTTTTAGAAGTGGAAACGAGGTGGACATGGGTGAAATTATTTGATGAATTGTCTCATTTTGACGGATGGGGTTCATCTTCTAATTTGATACCTACTTGGATTGGTTCATCTTCTAATTTGGTACTACATGGGTTTCCCTATCTTAAACATTTAAAATTGAGCTCTGATATGAAAGTTCTGCTTCTGCCTCAAAAACAGAAGTGATATAAAAAAAATAAGTTTCTTTTTTAATTTTATTTTAAAGAATAATAGTTTAAATAGACCATGAGAGATATCAGAGTAAATTATGAGTGTAAAACTAAAACCCAGTGTTGTGAAGAAAAAGTAAAAATAAGTTTGTAATTACCCCATATTCCAATTTACTAATCAATGAAATAATGAAAGAGAATCATAACTAATTTGTAACGTTATTGTGACTATTATGGAAATTTATTTGAATAAACATTGAAGTGGGAAATAGAGAACTTTGTGTTTGGATTTTCATGGAGAGGGGCAGAGTTTCCTGAGGGTGATGGAGGTGCGTTTGGTCTGAGTCAATTGTTGTCCCTGCCATAATTGAAAACCAGGTCTGCGATTTATCTCATGCTTCCAACGATACCTTGCTTCCCCTGACATGAGAAGCAACGAACCTGGCGTCAGCAAAAGGGGAACCGAAACGGATCCGGATCCGGATCCGGATCCGGGTGTGAAATGCATGACGCAGGATGATTCCAAGGAGATGATGGCGATGCCGTCGTCGAAACGCAAGAGGTCGACGTGGGCGGATATGCCTTCACCAGGCTGGTAGAGGTTGGCTATCATTTGGTCGAATAGTGGTTCTCGATGGATTGGGAAAACGACGTCGTCGCGACGGAGGAGGGAGTGGCGTATAGAATGGGATAATTGAATGGCCCAAGGAGGAAGATGTTGGTGGCCGAACCTCATGGCCTGGTTAATGGAGGGTTGGGTGAACCAATTCTCGTCTTCTATGGCTGAAAGCAAACGGGATTGTTGTTTTGGAGAGAGGAAGTCCTTGCATAACCATAGCCCTTTCACTTCCTCGATCTCCTCCCACTCACACTCACACTCAACATCGGAATCGGAATCGGAATTAGAATCAGATCCACCTTCGCCTTCGGAGGATGATTGCCCGAACACTAGTTCCAACACCGCCTTCTGCTGCTGCTCTTCTTCCTCCTCATCCCTCATCTAACCCTAACAACTAAGCTTGCTAGTTACTGCTTACAATCGCCTGTACCTACAAGTGAGATTAGTATTGGGTTAAGATATTATATATGGTTTAAGTTACAAAATTCTGAAAATTAAAATTATATAAGTTGTTTCAAGATATGTATTTTAAAAATTATTTCAACACGCAATATATTAATTGAAGTTGAAAAATATTGTAATTTATCACTTGTTTTTATTTAAGTTTTAAAATATTATCTACCATTTAAATCTAGTTTGAATTTTGAAAGCTAAGCCGATTCAATTTTTGTTACTCAAGTCTGGCTCAATTAATATGAGGCTAAGTTAGATTATGAACACTCTTGCTATAGCAGAAATTTTTGTTCAAAAAAAGTTCTCCAATTTTTCCGGAACACCTCTCCAATTTTTGTTTCATAGAAATCTTATTTAATTTCATTTAGAGCCACTTTGTTTAGTTTTTATAAAGGATTGTTTTTAAAAAAATATAACAATTAAGTAAGTTTTATAGAAAAAATAAAACTCTAAAAAATGTTTTTTTTATTGTTTTGAAAAATGGGTTCTTATATATATATATATTTTGAATTTATTGTTTCTCGATCGATGATATGAAGTTATCTCGACAAATCCAATATATATATATATATATATATATATATATATATATATATATATATATATATGAGAAAAACACTCCCCCCGTTGCTTGAAAAATGTTTGCAAGTTGGTTATCCTTCAATTTATGTGTCTTGCCTTTAAAAAAAAAAAATACTGGGCCTGCCTGTTTCTTCTCTCTACGGCTAATTGAAATTTTTTTTGGAACACGAGAAGTTATATACTGGGCCTGCCTGTTTCTTCTCTCTACGGCTAATTGAAATTTTTTTTGGAACACGAGAAGTTATATCCCCTATATATATATATATGTGAGGCAGGATCCTTTGACACCTTATATGAGAGCCGTTAGATCAAAAAAGATCAATGGTGTCACATGTTTACAAATCAGAGCCGTTGATTTTTTTTAATCTAATGGCTGTCAGATGAGGTGTCAAATTTCAAATTTGACACTGGTGTCAAAGGATCCTACCTATATATATATATATACACACACACACGCAGGGATTAGGATATAAATGGGTCAGGCTGGCCTGGTCTATATTTGGCCTAGTTTAGCCTTTCTAAAAAATAGAGTAGATTTAGGTTTATAAAAAAGTCTTTTTAATAAATAGGTCATAGGCCAACTTTGTCAAGTCTGGCCTAAAGCATCGTAGGCTGACTTATTTAATTTTTTAAAATAAAATAAAATAAAATAAAATAATTATTTTAAAATTACTTTTAAATAAGCTTTTAAAGTAATTGTATTTCTTTCTTATTTTTCCCATTTCTTTGACTCTATTCCTTTCTGATATACATTCTAGAGCTGCAATATTGATTTTTTCTTGTTTGTCATGTTTTATTTCTTATAAGAAATGTAAGTGCATGCATGAATGAAATTTTCTTTGCTCTATATAATTATTTTCTTTGCTTAGCATCTTTATTGGGAGGCCTGTAGGCCATATCAGGTTTTATAATTTTTAACAATAGGCCAGGCTTGACTTATAAACGAAGCCTCTAATAGGCCAATAGGCCAGATAGGCTGAACATTTTTTAACGTAGGCTTAGGCCAGGAAGGCCAAAGCCTAGCCTAGCTTGGCCCATTTACACCCTACGCAGTGGCATGATCATTTGACATTGTTGTCAAACTTTGAAATTTGACACAAATTCAAGCGAAAATCAACGGTTATAATTTTTGTTAGTTAAATTTATTAATTAATTATTAATTCTTAATAAATGACAATTGTTGATTGGCAAAAATCAACAGTTACGATTTGATGTCAAATTTCAAAGTTTGATATCGGTGCAAAAATATCCTATATATATATAGGGGCATGTTATATTTACAAATTTTTTTGTTTACAAACTACACTATCTTCTTCCGGAAGAACACTAATTTCCGGGAGAACATAGTGTAATTTGTAAAAAAAATTCAAAAAAATTTGTAAACGGATCATTCCCCATATATATATATATATATATATATATATATATATATATATATATAGTGAAGTAATATTCTCATGTTACATGAGAGTTAATCATTTCCTACACAAATTCGTTTTCCGTGTCAATTAATTTTTCTTTTCTTTTTTAATATAAAATATGAGATCCAAATTTAACTTCTCTCTACTTTTTTTCTCTCTTACAATCCTACAACATAAGAAAACTTAAACCCATATATATATATATATATATATATATATATATATATATTAAAGTTTTTAATTAACAATCAAGTTTCATCGTGTCATTTTAATAAAATATTTGAATCAATTTTTCTAATTTAACAATGATACCTAATAGTTGTTCACCAACAATTAATCAAATTTAAGTTTTCTAAGTAGCTATTACTTGTATTAAGTAGTTATTACTTTTAGTGTTTTCATTCCTTTTTTCTGCTTGTTATCAAATTATTTCTATTTTTAAAAAATATCAAATAGATTCAATTATATTTGACTGAATTATATTTTATGAAAATATCACTATTATTATTATCATCTCAATCTTTTATTTTGCTTATCAACACCGAAAGTAAAGTTTAGAGATTTTATTAATATTTTAAAATGAAAAGAAAAATGAAACAAAAAAAAAGTTCTAGAGAAAAAGATAAATTAAGGAATGGATGGATTGCAGTTAGTTCGAGTTATTGAATATGCGAAAAAGAAGTATAATGTTGTAGGAAAATGTTTAGGTAATGTTATAGAGATAGAGATGGTGGGACCCACCCTTGTTTTCAAAAACCAAAAAAATAAACAAGTGTGAGTCCCACCATCTCTATCTCTATAACATTACTTAAACATTTTCCTACAACATTATACTTCTATTTCCCATTAAATATACATAGAATCTTTTGATATTCATTTCTTGAGATTTTGAATATGTCAAGGTGATAACTTATAAAGTTGTACACTGGTACTCACTCTCATTTCATTAGTTTTAAATTTTGTATGTATATTTATTCAAAAACAAACAAGTAACAATCATAATTTTGTGAAAGAGTTTCGATTTCATTAAACATAATAATTTTTTACTTTGATATCAAGATTTATCTGTAAGAAAAAAAAATTATTAAAAAAAGTCATCCACAAATAATGCAATCCCATCCCATCCCATCCCAGTTACCGTTGCGGTAGTCAGAACCACAAGTAACGGGCATGAGCGACGGAAATCATAATATAAGTAGGGCTAAGATGTTTCTGCACAATCACTACTTGTGCCTTGGGGTTTTGCAATTTTTTGCCCTACCTGTGCTGGTACCTTCTCTTTCTTGCTCTGCTTATCTCAGATTGATGGTATGTCCTTTGAAAATTTCGAATTGTTAAGTAATTCACTGCCTAGCTCTGCTTTCTTCAAGGAAGTTCCTTTGTTTTTGGCTTGGTGTGTGGGTAACCTTTCTGTTCTGTGGGCAATATTCTCTTCGGTGTTTCTTATGCTACATCGCCATTGTATTTTATATGTTTCTTTAGCTTTTGTTTTCTTGAGGACGATTCTATTCGGCCTTTCAGTGAATCTTTTATTGTAAGTTGAATACTTAATTTTGTGGAATTTACGGCAGATTTTCAAATATAACTGAGTTGTTTGTTGCTGTTGAAGTAGTTAATGGACACACTGGAAACGGACGGACTATAGAAAGGCCAAAGTTACATGGTATTTCATATTCCCTCCGAAATATCCTGCAAACTTACATACATACTAGTTTGTTAATTTGGCGCATGCTTGATAAGTTCATAGATTATATATGGTGCATTTAAGTATAATTATGAATGGAGAGTGGAGACTAGAAATGTAAACATTTTAAGGGTCTTAACTTCGCAATATTCATAATTGTTTTGTATTTTGACTAGAAATGTAACTTGGCTGAATGTTGCTATAGCACCACCTTGTATTTTCAAGTGGGTGCTATAGCTTAATTGTATTTTCTTGCAACTTTTATGCACCACCTTGCTTCATTTTAGGTGTGGTTCTTTACAAACTCATTTATATTTTGGTGCAGTGTATAAACTAGTGTCTTTAAATAAGTCCAGCAATGTGAGTGATCATGTAAAGAACGTACTGTCTCCCCTGAAGGCTCTATATATCAAAGCTACTGACCTCAAGAAGGTATTTCCTGATCATAGTGAAAGTTTCATTTTTAATCTTGGTTTCCCAAGGAATTTCGAATTTGGCGAAATGGGTCTCTGTCAATTCTATTCCTTTCAGCTTTGTTCAACTGTTTGTTGTTTATCATGGTTTGCTTCTAAGAAGAAAGTTACCTTTTTACTATTTTTTCATAGTTACATGCTGAAATCATAGTTGGGTCAGTTTATAATTATAGTGTGTTGTTTGTGCTTATTTATTTATTTTTTATTAATAAAAAATTGTGGGGTTCTCTAATTTTTGATGTGCAGATATCGACCGGGAAGAATGACAAGGGACTCAAGCTTAGTTATATTGATGGCGATGAGGAGATTCTTAGATATAGAGGCTACCCAATTGAGGAGTTGGCAGAGAAAAGCACTTTTACCGAAGTGTCCTATCCTATCTCATAAATACGTGAGTATTATTCTTTTCTTTACCTTGTTTATGTGTAGATAAAACATTTCGACTAATGATTAGCTTATATAGAGATTTTATGTCAGTGAAGACACATGTAACTAAACATTTCTTTACCTTGTTTATAGGCAACCCTAACCACCCTAGTAGGTCCACCCCTGATCCATTGTTAAGTCAATAATTACCGTACTTACCATCAGATAATGCTTATTCTTAGTGGCAATAAAAAAGCCGATCTTGGACCTCCTTCTAATAGCCTAAACATTTGGGAGAGTTGGTCTTTGACATGTTATCATAGCTTTCTGACCAAGCTGTGAGGTGTTTGATTCATGTTGTCCCCATTCTGTATAATTAACTCGAATTTCAGTACAAGTTAAAATGGGCCTGTGCATTGCTACAGTTCAACACTCAAAAGGACTCTTGTTTGAAAGAGCAAGTTAAAAATAAAAAAACTAATCTCAGATATAGAGGAGATTCTTAGATATAGAGGCTACCCAATTGAGGAGTTGGCAGAGAAAAGCACTTTTACCGAAGTGTCCTATCCTATCTCATAAATACGTGAGTATTTATTCTTTTCTTTACCTTGTTTATGTGTAGATAAAACATTTCGACTAATGATTAGCTTATATAGAGATTTTATGTTAGTGAAGACACATGTAACCAAACATTTCTTTACCTTGTTTATAGGCAACCCTAACCACCCTAGTAGGTCCACCCCTGATCCATTGTTAAGTCAATAACTACCGTACTTACCATCAGATAATGCTTATTCTTAGTGGCAATAAAAAAGCCGATCTTGGACCTCCTTCTAATAGCCTAAACATTTGGGAGATTTGGTCTTTGACATGTTATCATAGCTTTCTGACCAAGCTGTGAGGTGTTTGATTCATGTTGTCCCCATTCTGTATAATTAACTCGAATTTCAGTACAAGTTAAAATGGGCCTGTGCATTGCTACAGTTCAACACTCAAAGGACTCTTGTTTGAAGGAGCAAGTTAAAATAAAAAAACTAATCTCAGACCCCCCCCCCCCACCCCCACCCCCACCCCCACCCACTTGACAGCTTATGTTTTTTGGAGAGTTGGTTTTGACAGTGTAAAAAGAAAAGAAAAAGAAAGATAGACACACTTATATTTATCGTTCTACCTGTCTGCCTCCCATTTAGATTTTATACTTTTTATTTTTTGGCAAGGGATTCCATTGTTTTCTTATTAGGATTTGTTGAGATATATTATCCCATATTGGTTGTATGAGCAACTAATATAGAGTTTATAAGGTCTTGGGCTCTCCCACCCTTTGAGCTAGCTTTTGGGGTGGTGTATCCCAAGGTTCTTTACATGGTATCAAAGCCTCGCCGCCCCCCACTCTCTCTTGTGGCGTTTCTTAGCACAGGTGGGCTGAGCCTGTTGCATTGTCCACTCTTCAAGCCCAATGGGCTCTCGTGTGAGGGAGCGTGTTGAGATATATTATCCCACATTGGTTGTATGAGCAACTAATGTAGAGTATATAAGGTCTTGGGCTCTCCCACCCTTTGAGCTAGCTTTTGGGGTGGTGTATCTCAAGGTTCTTTACAGGATTCAACATGTTATATTGTTATTGTTGTGCAGCCTGTGCTATGTTATTTGATTCAGCTTCAACTTTTTTCATTTAATTTTTTTATTACGATTTGATGCAGGGTCTTGATATTTACAACTCAAAGCAAGTGAGATTTTATATTTATCGTTCTACCTGTCTGCCTCCCATTTAGATTTTATACTTTTTATATTTTGGCAAGGGATTCCATTGTTTTCTTATTAGGATTCAACATGTTATATTGTTATTGTTGTGCAGCCTGTGCTATGTTATTTGATTCAGCTTCAACTTTTTTCATTTAATTTTTTTATTACGATTTGATGCAGGGTCTTGATATTTACAACTCAAAGCAAGTGAGATTTTATATTTATCGTTCTACCTGTCTGCCTCCCATTTAGATTTTATACTTTTTATTTTTTGGCAAGGGATTCCATTGTTTTCTTATTAGGATTCAACATGTTATATTGTTATTGTTGTGCAGCCTGTGCTATGTTATTTGATTCAGCTTCAACTTTTTTCATTTAATTTTTTTATTACGATTTGATGCAGGGTCTTGATATTTACAACTCAAAGCAAGTGAGAGAAAAACATTTAGCAAGGGTTGTTGGAAAGGTGTGCTTATTCAGTTATCTTTACTCTTGTCACCCTTCTATCCATCTTTACTCTTGTCACCCTTCTATCCATCTTTACTCTTGTCACCCTTCTATCCCTTATATATGTAATATGTAAGTTATTCAGTTATTTTGATTGCTTCTCGCACTGGTTTTACAGCTTGTGAGATTTTGTACAGTAGCCACACAACTCTATGATTCTTTGCAATATGTCCTACTTCTTTATTCCAATATTATTGTTTTTACTGCAGATAACAACAATTGCTGATGCGATTTATCTTAGAATGGCAGGAAGGCCACCTGTACTTTCATCCAACCACCTTTCTTACACACAGAACTTCCTATACATGGCAGATTCTTTGTATGTCTTATGGTATATTCAGGTCTGACTGATACTTTGGAATAAGCCAAACTTGCCCTTTTTTAATTTTTATTTTTTCTTCATAGCTTAATGATGGTTTGATCTTTGTACTCATATAGAAAAAATCCAAAATCTTGGATGATAGATTAGCTATATACTAGCTTCTTCAATATTATTCTTTTCTTAAGAGTTTAACACAAATGAAATCTCCACTTTGCACTCAGCATTATTTTCATTCTGCATCCAGAACATGAAATGAATTGCTCTACATCTGCTGTCCGACACCTTGCGTCAAGGTAGACATCTTACTGCAACATAAAGCAGCCAATCTGATATTGCTTAGTTGTCATCCTATTTTAGAGGTGTTCACTCAGCATTATTTTCATTCTGCATGCAGAACATGAAATGAATTGCTCTACATCTGCTGTCCGACACCTTGCGTCAAGGTAGACATCTTACTGCAACATAAAGCAGCCAATCTGATATTGCTTAGTTGTCATCCTATTTTAGAGGTGTTGATGTATACACTGCTATTGCTGGGGCTGTTGGAGCTCTATATGAACCTCTTCATGGTGGAGCTAATGAGGTAACTATAAGAAGTTAATTAAGCTCTCATGTTCTTTTATGTACTGCTTGTTTTAATGTAGTGAGTAAGCACAACCACAATACTGTTATTTAATATGTGAGCATGCTAATGTGACCATTGATTCTACAAGTTGTCCTCAAAATGCTGAGTGAAATTGAAACTGTTGAGAACATACCAGAGTTCATTGAAGGTGTCAAAGCCAGGTGGCTATTACTTTCTTTTTGTTATATAGTTCTTACTTTTTCCCTATTTGTTATGCCCTGAAAGTATAGCATGATGCCTTGGTCTTGTTGCCCCCTCTTTTGGAGGTCTCAATGCAGCAAGCGGGGGGAAATAGTTTTAGTTGATATTCTTGTTCTGTGTTTTTCCTCCAGGAAACAAAAGCTCTCTGGTTTTGGACACCGAATCTACAAAAACTATGATCCCAGAGCAAAGGTCTTAAGAAAACTGGCAGATGAAGTGTTTTCCATTGTTTGTCGGGACCCTCTTATTGAGGTGTTTATCCTCTTATTGCCTTTCTGTTACATATTCCTTAAGTTAGGTATGCTGGTCGTGTGTGGAGGGTGTAGAAGAGTTGAGCTATCCATTAACTATTTGAGTTCGACTTGATAAATGCTTAGATTAAGCTCGTTTGTTCAACTAAACAAACAAGCTCAAGCTTGAACTTAAGTCATTCAAGATCTCTAGCAACTCTTATTGTTTTCAAATTTAAAGAATTACTTGTGGTTTCTGACAGTGTTATAATCTGACCAATAAAACGAATTCTACTTAATTTAATGTCAATGGTTCAGTATATATTGTTAAACTTTAAAAGTTTTAACTTCTCTATGCAATTATTTGATCGTTCAGGTTGCAGTTGCGTTGGAGAAGGTTGCACTATCTGATGAATTTTTCATCAAGAGCTATATCTAAATGTTGACTTCTACTCTGGATTAATTTATAGGTAATCTATTATTACATCAGTTATTCTAACTAGGGAGGATAAAAATATGTTGCTTCCTCCAGAACATCATACAAGGCTTGAACTAATGGTTTAATGCAATCAGGGCCATGGGATTTATTTGCTATCCCTCGAATGGCTGGGTACTTGGCACATTGGAGAGAATCCTTGGATGATCCTGATACAAAGATTATGAGACCTCAACAGGTGACTTCCTTTCTTTAAATCATTTCTCTGTATTATAGGTTTAGGTGAAGTCATGGTGAGAGAGAGAAGAGAGAGACGAAGAGAAGAGAGATAGCAAGAGAGGTCTTCTATTATTGATATATTCTAAGGATTTACAAGTACAAACATATATATAAAGGAGATGGTGACTAAAGTGCTGACTGAACACCTAAACAGAAAGTGGTTGAAGTCTAACAACCATCTAGGGAAACATAGACTTAAGTAAACTAAAAGGACGATGACCCAAGCGCTTGTGATGAAGCCAAATAAGAGAATATGAAGTAGACTGACGAGTCATCAAATTCTGATCCACCAACCTTCTAACATCATTTCTTGAGATTTTGAATATGTCACGGATTCTGATCCACCAACCTTCTAAAACACCAACCTTCTATTATTGATATATTCTAAGGATTTACAAGTACAAACATATATATAAAGGAGACGGTGACTAAAGTGCTGACTGAACACCTAAACAGAAAGTGGTTGAAGTCTAACAACCATCTAGGGAAACGTAGACTTGAGTAAACTAAAAGGACGATGACCCAAGCGCTTGTGATGAAGCCAAATAAGAGAATATGAAGTAGACTGACGAGTCATCAAATTCTGATCCACCAACCTTCTAACATCATTTCTTGAGATTTTGAATATGTCACGGAGATAAGATAACTTATACAGTTGTACACTTATACTCTCTCATTTCATTAGATTTAAATTCTTTATGTATATTTATTCAAAAACAAACAAGTAACAATCATAATTTTGTGAAAGAGGTTCGATTTCATTAAACATGTAACTTTTTACTTTTATACAAGATTTATATGTAAGAAAAAAATATTATTAGAAAAAGTCATCACAGATAATGCTACCCCATCGTAGTTACCGTTGCAGTAGTCACAATCACAATTAACTGGCATCAGCGAGAACGATCATAATATAAGTGGGACCACAGCCGCAATTTAAAAACATCCAGCATCAGCGATTATAAACGGCACCTTGACCATCGTCGACGAGAGGACCGACAAAAAGTACCAGGTTGATGTCTCCCCTGAAGGCGCACTATACATCAAAGCTACTGACCTCAAGAAGGTATTTCCTGATCATCAGTGAAAG